ACAAGAAACATTGAATCCAATTCTAAACACCTTCAACATAAAATTTTACCATGCATCCTAACCAACAAAATTAGAGAAATTAGGTACAAAGCACGAGATTGAGATTGGCTGATTATTTCCTAAGTAACGTGATGCCAACTTGATTAGAACTTGAAATATTTGGATGCACCTTGAAAATCAGAAGAAGCGGAGCAACCAAGAGGGGGAATCAGCTTACCACTATGTCTGGACGAACTTCTTCCCAATCACAAGCTAGCATCCTTCCACTTCGTGCTAAGCCAGATTGCACCTCGTCAGCCATCATTAGGACATTATGTTTTGAGCAGAGATCTCTAACGGATTTTAAGTAACCATCTGGAGGAATTACAACCTAGTAACCAAAACAAAAAAAAAGGTATAAAAATGTTTACCAATTAGTAGAACTACAAACTTTCAAGCATTCACAGTTCACTTGAGTTTCTCTGGCATACTGAAGTGACCATTTTTCCAGTAAATCATTCTTATGACAGGGAGAAACCATGTAAAGCTAGAGACATGGTTAATATTATGGTATTCATGACCAACTTCTGAAAGACATCACCATGCACAAGCCAAGTATATCAGGCTATATGGTAGAGTAATCAAGGCGCGATTTACAAAACACATACCCCAGCCTCTCCTTGAATGGGTTCGAAAAGAAATCCCGCTATCTTATCTCCCTTTTCTGCATGAAGACACGAGATCAAGTCATGAATTCACTTCTAAGATAATGGTACCATGCAAATCCAAGTGTTAGGACATTGAAAGTGAAAATTATTGTGAAAACTTCAAACCTTTAAATAAGTTCTCAAGAGCAACTATGTCACCAAAATCGACCTTAAGGTGGCCTGGTAACAGTGGTCCAAAACCACGAGTAGCCTCATTGTCACAGCTCATGGAGATGACACCCAATGTACGGCCATGGAAGCAGCCACAACAAGACACAATAATGGCCTGCATGGAACACATTGTGATAATTAGAGATGAGACAATAAAGTCAATAAGCACACTAGACTACCTAATCACCATCAGTTTTCATATTAACTTGGATTTCAAAATTAGACCGAGAATCATAACCCTCTTTATGGAGGAGTCACTTTCAAATGCCCAGCACGGCAAGAATCAGCCATGAACACACAAACTCAACAATTATTACATATATGAAAGTTAACCACCTCATCTTTGGGAATCTTTTTCTTCTCATATCCCCATTTCCTTGCCAGTTTCAAAGCTGTTTCAACTCCCTCAGCACCAGTGTTCATGGGAAGCACCATATCATAGCCAAACATACTTGTTATACTCTCTGCAAATACTGGGAATTTGTCATTGTAGAATGCCCTAGAGCTCAGAGTCAGATTTTCTGCCTGGTCCTTCAACGCCTTCATGATCTTGGGATGACAATGTCCCTACAACTCCAATATACACAGGTTCAGTAACCGCAATCCCAAAGATTCCAATAAAGCAGATACATTTACAAGGCACAATAGGTTACCTGATTAACTGCAGAGTAAGCAGCAAGAAAATCTAAATACTTTTTGCCTTCAGGATCCCAAATAGACGACCCCTTTGCTTGAGAGAAGACGATTGGAACTGGGTGGTAACTGCAATTCAACCAGGAGGCCTAAATTACTAGGATGAAGAGATAAGTAACAAATAAACAGAACACACCATATATACGATGAACTCGGCCAAACGAAACCAGAAGACAACTTAAACAAAAACATTTTCATCACTTAAGAAATCAGTCTGGGTTCTGCTGCTCTCAAGCCTGGCATGGCAGCCTAAAGGGAGCAGCTTCTTCACTGCCGCCCCCATAGAATACATCACAGGCAAACCATATCGCAAAACAGAGGAGAAATGAACCCAGCTGAAATCAAAGGCAATCATGTGCAGAAAAAAACCATGAAATGATGTAAAAGAAAGCGGGGATAGAAAGAGGGGGCAACGTTGACTGACTTGTGGGCGCTGCACTCATACTCCAGGTTGATGAGTTGATCAGAGGAGGCGGCGGGTCGTCGTTGGGGGACAGCGCTGCCGTAACTTCCCATGGTAGCGGCGGATCGCGTGGCGGAGTACCTGAGTAAAGCTCGAGTGAGAAATGTCTGACAAGGTCTCCTGGTTGCCGCTGCCATAATTCGGATTGGTGAGGGACCTGCGGGGAGTATTTATGGCTACTGGGTGCAGGGGATGTTCAGACGGAGGCCTGGGAGTGACGAACAAGACAGAAATTTGTGAACTTTGGGGAGATCGAGTGGGTAAGCTATGGCTTTGCCTTTTACACAGTGGGAATGGAGTTCTAAGTAGTGCGGGATTAAAAAACTCTCTCGCCTGCCGTCGGATTTAGGAATCGGAAATGGAGATTGACGATGAGAGAGAGAGGCGGCGGTGGTGGAAGTGGACTGGCCAGTCGGGTTCTTTTGTTTCATTTGGCAGGGGAATGTCGTTTTGCGGCGCGCCGATCAGATGGCGACACTCATCTCTATGTAATACTGTCATCCTGATCAGCAATAAAGCAGATACATTATTGAAGTAATGGAGCCACTAAGTAAACCCCATAACGAATCCACCTCCATTCAATCTGAATGGGAGAGTTGAAGCGATTACTCTCATCTTTTTGCATTGTTGCGTTAGCTTATCGACTAAGTTGGCCATATCCAGCCTTCCATGACCTTACTTACACCTTATGTTCCTCTATCAAGCATTCATATACCTGCATTTCTTGATGAGCAAACTTGACGATGTTCCTTTTACACTTTACTTTGACATGGTTTCTTTGTTAAGTTCTCACATCAAATCGAGGGGCCGTTTAACAGACAATCATCAAAACAGAGAATACCAATTGCATCATTATCTGAATCGATCAAACTTGTTTTTAGCACCAGACCAATGAGTTTGACAAGATCCAATCACAAGATTGCATAACCATAAGGCATAGATATCATTCATCTTGCTAGTGTAGTGCTATAACCCCCCACCTGCTTTAGGTACAAATTTATCCACTACCAGTACAACAACAATCTCATTGTCAATCCGAAACAAAAATCCCCGGGACGACATCAGGAATACAATAAACAACTCTTTATCTGAATCAAAAACACCTTATATCAAACTACTATACACATCCACCATGTTAAGTGGGCTGCTGCAACTGACAGTATGAAGTATAAAGAACACTGAAACTCAGACGCCAGTAACTCAATGATGTCAACGGACATCTTAGAATACGTTTGAGATACAGAACCAACTGTAGCTTCTAGAAACATCTACCCATATCTGAGGACATATCTACGGACAAAAACCAACCCACATTTGAGGAGCTCAATCTTGGTCATAAATGGAAATGGAAATAGGTCATACTATCTGACATACTTCACTATCCGAAACAGTATAAGCCAGCTGGAACTAGATTAAGCAGCACCACTTAAAGTGATTGAAATCAGTGAAAAAAATAGAGGTTCTTGATGTTCAAAAGAAACACGGAGACCTGACCTTCAATGACAACAAGCTACACATAAAAAGTCCCAGAAGATGATTTTAGATCCCGGAAAAACCCTAGTCTTTTTTTTTTAACTCCATAATGGCTTGCTCAGAGGAACCGATTATGCATTTGAGTAGCATTTTGTGATGTCATGGAAAAAACCACAGAGAAACTAAGTACAAACAAGAGATGAGTAGTGAAGCAGGGAAAGAAACGCTAAGCTTCACTATTATACTGGCAAAAGGTAGAAGAAGCAACTACTGGGCGTAGAATGGTTCAAATCAGAGCATTGTGTAAGCAGAAAGGTTTGACTACGTTTTGTGAAACTCTTAATGCTCGAGAGGGTAAAGGTCTCGCGATGCCTATTCAAACTATGATATTTAGGTTTCATTTAGTCGAATGAACCAAGACTGCAAGCAAAGAGAGTTAGATGTAACAATCAGGTAATCTAATGCCAAGACCGGCCACGTAAAATGCGGAAAAACTTCATCCCCCAGAAGGCAATTAACTGTACTCTACTTACCAATGACCGTCTATATCAACTGATTGTGCAAATAAATACCAAGAAATCCAGGCCTCATTCCTAAACCAAGGACCCATGAACTCGTATCAAGTTATAGAAAACTAAACTGTTTGTTGAAACTCGAAACCTAAGGTGCCATTCTTTGAGCAGCAGAAAGCGTGTTGAGGACAGACGAGTTAAATGACAGACAAAAATATTACAGTCATTCTTTCAGCAGCAGCTCCGGGTATTAAAGAAGTAAGCTCTAATGGAAGATTAAGATGAAACCCCTGTGATTCAGAAAGAGGGGGCTCAGAACCTTTAATGCCACAGACCTTTGGTCTTTAGATGAACAATTTAAAGACATAGGACTGGGTAGCAACAAGAGAAAACAACAAGTCTGAGATCAGACGAAGAATGAAGCGTGCAGCCTCATATTCAAACAGAAGAAGGCATTTCCATTTGAACCACCAATGATGATCAAAAAAATCAAAGCTAGAAAATGGAAAATTATAATATAAACATGCAGCACCAAGTGATTCAATAGCAACACATTTTGTCATAGCAAGAGATTTTTCCAACAGGAAATGGAGGGCAAGAGATTGTATGACGACGGAGATCACACGAGTCCCAAATCCAGCAAGAAGGATTATGTGAAACCTTTCTCGCACGTGATTGCAAAACAGAATATGAACATAGTTGGAAATGAGATGGGCCCATAGCAGTAAATGATAAGATACGCAAAAGCCAAACGCAAAAGAAAGAAAGATCCTATGGAGTTCTAAGATTGGATGGTTTTTAAAGAGCAACAAAGGAAACCTATATCAAAGAGTTCTAAGCCAGCAGTGAACCTTCAACCATTATCTTGACAGGCTCCACGGAACTGGAAGAGACTCTGATCGCTGAGGCCTAGAATTTGAGCAGTCACCAGAAGGAAAACCTAACAGATCTAAGAAGATGTTCGGAGAGAAGAGACTTCAAGAACTACACATCCGCAATAAACTAGGTAGCCATTATAAATGCCTGGATTAAATTTTCAGCTGCAAGTTGCTGCTCTGGTGTGCCAGATATATGTGCAATACGGTCACCCCTAGAACCCTTGGATTCAGAAATTTCGATCATTGCTCCTGATATCTGCAAAACACAAACACTGAAGCATCAAACCAAATCCCAAATTGAAGAACCAACAAAATACACTTGTTTATGTGCGATAAAACATCATGTTTGAAAATGAGAACTCAGGACTGACTTCCTTCTTATTCTTAATGCACATATTCAAGCTGTCAGAGAAGATTGACAAACATGCAAAGCAGAAACCACAATGAGGTTTACAATCCACCATACACGTGGTATTGGAGAATTTTCACATCATACAATTGAGGAATTTACTATAAAGAAAGGATAAGCCAACGTAGCACATAAGGGAACCCAAAGTGTGAGCATACAAAAGCTTAGGTAAATAATAAATTTCAAAATAATAAGAGAAATACAAAGATGAACCTTTCGAATGTTGGCAATGTTTGCCCCTCCTTTGCCCAAAACTTTCCCTACAGCATTGGCAGGCACCAACATCTCACGAGTTGGGGGTGTAGGAAACCCTCCATATAGCTTGGATGAAGAATACGAGGACATGGTCCCGTAGCCATTTTCCCCAATCTGGAAAACATTCAGCTGATTATGAACCAAATCTCAGCTGAAGGAAGAAAGCAAGTACACACAGTTCAAAAAGCATATGATATGACTGTAACCGCTACACCACAACCATAAAGGGTATGAGATACTTTTAGCATTATGGTAAACTTTTAGAAGAGTGTTTGTCTCAGCTTTTAAGTCAACTTCCCACAACAAGCAAACCCTAACAGTCCTCCATCAATGATGTGCTGGCCCACAATTGTATTCGACAATATAAATGAGAAGACACAGTAATACTAAAGAATGACAGAAGGGAGCTTTGCTGAAAATAGAAACAACATACTGGCAAAGATCCATATCCGTGAAGGCTGTTGGAGGGAAGCAAACCCAAACTATTTCCAGCTTCACCCCTTCGATCAAATCCCAATGGAGTAATAGGAGGCATAGTAGGAAAGAGAGAAGTAACCGGAAGCCCAGGAGCTCCTGGGTATAACGAATCAGCAGCAGAAGAACTGTGACCACTGTCCCTGTCTTTCAATGCATCATCTCTAAGCCTTAGAACAATCTGAACAAGTGCATCCCTAACACAGGCAACTTCCCCTAGCAACTGTATAGGATTTATTATGTCAACTAAACGATAATTTGTTGTGAAAAATAAATGTAAATTACAATTAGAAAATAGCAGTAGTTTAGTAAGCCAACCTCAACAAGTTCATCATTAGCCTCCGCACATTTTGGCTTATCACCTTTTGAGATACGGATATCTGCATTAGTTCTCTTCCGGATTTCACTGATGATTGAACCACTTTTCCCAATAATACATCCTATAACTCTGGAAGGGATAAGTAGCCTCATACTAACAGTATCCACATCCTCGTCACTAATTTTTCCTTGGAGCAATAGAACTGCTTCGACAGCCATGGATTTCAAGTCATCCGGTGACTGCAAAATCATGGATAAGTCACACAATGATGAGATTCACAGCCTTGATCTAGAAACAAGGTAGTCCATGATGAAAAGCTTCTTGATCTCATGATGGTAAAAGACATGATGAAAACAAAGAAAAGCTTACAAAGTAAAAGTTGGAAGATTTCAGAGCAGGAAAAAGGACACGGAGTAGTATGTACTCCTTTACACAGTTAAAAGCTCCTCAGCGATTTAATAGAGCTGGACATTCCAATTGCTAGTAGCATATACAGTCAGAAAAAGGTTTAATGAGATCCAACAAGACCTAAACAGCAGTACAGCACACATGACATCTTCTAACTTAACGTGATGCACAGAAAACGCTTTGCGTTCTTTTCTTCTTCCATAGTTAGTTTCAGTTCAGAATTATACATATGACACCACAAAGAGGGGAAAACAAACGGTACCTATGCAAGTAGCAACTCAGCAGATTACAAATGAGTAACAGGAACATACCTCCACTGCAATGACTGTAACAAGACACTCATCACGGTCAACCTTGGTATCATCAACCTCAATTCTAGCACCACTGGCCTGCCTTATGCTTTTAATGGTCGCACCACCCTTGCCAATGACACGTCCAATCTTGCTGAAAGGGCACAACACCCGCACAATTAACTCTTCTGATTGAGGAGGACCAGACTGCAAAGTAGCTAGTCCAGGTAGGTTGGATGAATAGACAGGCCATGAACCACTTGGATCGCCATAACCCTGAAGTTCCGGTACGTGTGCAGAACCTAAGATGGGTGGAAAAGATCTAGGAGGGCCAATAGAATCTGCATTTGGATATAGTCCAAGTGGAGGATGATATATGGGGACATCTGATGGTATTATGATGCTTGGAGGAACGTCCGGTACTGTTGTTTCCAGAGGAACTACTTCTTTGGGACCAAACTTAAACATGATTGCAGAAACAGCAAATAGCGCTCTCTTCACTGACTCTGGTTCACCTGATATCTGTTGAGTGAAAAGGAAAAGGCACCTAGTTACTACTGGTAGAAGGCACGTCTAATACAGAATATACTAAAGCAAAAAGCCACAGTAGAACAACTACAACCACAAACAAGGGACAGTTATAAGAAAATCCCTGAAGTGGTAGGACAGGAAGGCAGTTGGACTAATTTTTCAATTGCTAGATGACAATATCAGAAAGTTCAGACAAAACTCCCATAGTTGCCTCGCAGGAAAACGAACAATAACTAAACTGACAAGCTACATGCCTGATACGAACTTTCAAACTCGATATGGCATTCCAAAACAAAAGAAAGCAGTTTCATAATGGTCCGTAAATTGAATGCTTAAATGTGCTTCCTCAATATGTAAAAGAGAAGAATAGCATACCGAAGTATCTTACAGATTCACAGCTGCCCTGAGTTAGCACAACATAAATGAGAATAATACAAACCACACCACACCAACACATCATAAACGCTTTACAGTTTCGTCACTTACTAAAACCCTTTCGCAGATAAGATGGCTAGTGAGGCTCTCCACCAGAGAGACAATAATAGCTAATAAAATCGACACAACCCTTATCATGAGATATGGAACCTATCTGTAGATGCAGCAAGATGCATGCCAAACAGCTCAAGCTTCCATAGGAAAACAGAAGAAATCGACCTTTTAGATTTTGACAAGGAAATTCCTCACGAGAAACCTTGGCAAAGGTAGAGCTATTGCAGTTTTAGATACTATCCAGAAGAGAAGTTTCCGTGTACTAACCAGTAAAAAGTTGTCAAAGTCCATAGCACAAGCATGAGTAGGATCAGAAACGTCCTTGGCATTAATTTTAATGCTAGCCCTCGTTTTGCTTCTCAATTTTTTTATAGTCATCCCAGATTTACCAATGATATTCGCCGACTGGCTGGAAGGAACAAGGATTTCACATTCCTCCTTGTCTGTTCTCTTGTTATTATCAGAGTCTGCAGCAGCTGCAATTGCATTACGGATGGCAGCATGAACTTTAAGGAGAGCGTCCTGAGCACCACACAAGGGTGTAATAGTACTACTACTATATTCCTCATCAATGTCAACATCATCCTTTGACTTGACATAGCAATAGATGGTTATAACCCTACCCTTGGCCCCTGGAAATGGATCCACCACCTTGACTTTGGCTCTTGTTTCTTGCCGTATTGAGTTTATCACTTTCCCGTTTTTACCAATGACGCTTCCAATAACCTCATCTGGGCATATTATTCTGTATACAACCAGTTCATCGTTATTCCTTTCATCCTTGTCATTTAATCGTTTCTTGTGATTCTTCTTGTTGTCCTCGTCATACTCTCTTCGCTGTCGTGGTCGCTTGCCACTCTCCCCCATTGATGGTACAACAGTTCTCACCTGGAAGTAATACACAAAAGATCAAACATTTAAGATAAAGAATCCATCTTTGACCGTGGTATGCGCAACAAAAGTGTCAGAAACATGCAATTCACCGTAGTATTAGCAAAATCAAACTAGCTGAACAGCATAGGGTACATGGATTCCCCAAGCCAATTTAAGCTAGCGCAGCACGAAACGGAGCGTTACGCAAGAAAAGACCATGATCGAGAACCCGATAGAAACGGAACCATCAAAACGAAAGATGGCAAGCCCAGAACACCCAATCAATTTCTCCGCCTAAAGTTCAATAATTTGAGTCAATCCGACGACCAGTCTTCGCTTACCATTGCCAATCCGCTCAACGAAGGTCGATGGTTGATAAATTCGATGGAACCCCGCAAGAGAAAACAGAGAATTGGGATTTCATAGTTCGCGACGAAAGAGTACAGAGTAAGCAGGTGAGAACGGAAAACAATGGCTTACCTGTGGTTTAAGAAGAGAGGAAAAGCCCTAAAGAGAGTGATGAAACAGAGAGGGAGACGCAGACGCAGAAGGTGTTAGGGACAGCGGAAAACGGATATATGATTTTTGCTCCCCGCACGCAAGTCAAATCATCATCATGGGACGCAGAGTACTCTGCTTCGAGGTTAGGTTTCCTTTCATTCTTTGTTCTTGTCGGGCGAGAACCCACTCGGTTTTATCTCATCTTACGAGTTACGCCTTGGGATAAGTACCTGGCGTTGGGTAAATTACGACGTTGGTCCCGATATTTTTTTTTATCCATTAGATTTTTTTTAAAAATTTTACTACGACCTAGATGAATATTCTCCCTTATAATCCGCGGATTCTGCCAGCAGGAGGGGACCCCACGGTGTCTGAGTTAATTTGTCAAGGGGAGGGGCGCTGGTGTGACCACATAACTTAGCCAATGGTTTGACCCTGCCACTTGTCGCAATATTAAAGCTATTCCTCTTCCGCGGGCAAATGTGGAGGATAGGCTCATTTGGCATGATACGCCTGATGGTGTTTTCTCGGTGAAATCTGCGTATCACTTGGCTGTCGCCCCTGGACAGGAGAAGGGGCCGGTGGAAAGCTAGGGTAGATTGGATGGATCAGACCAGCTGGATCCGACTATGGGAGGCTAACATTCCGTCGAAATTGAAGGTGTTTGTTTGGCAAATTTTCCATCGAATTCTCCCTACAACGGAAGCATTAATAGAAAGAAAGATCCAGGTACATCCTTGCTGCCCGGTTTGCTGGGAGGGCACGGAAACTATGGAACATTTGTTCCTGGATTGCCCGGTCGCCCAAGCACTTTGGGGGGCAGCTGGGTTAGAGCATATCGGGGAGGGGTTGCCTCGTCACACATTCCCATTATTTCTAAAAAGGGTAATGGCGCTCATCCATCAGCCTACTCTGTTTATGGCCATTGTGGCCGTCCTTTGGCGAATCCGGCGATCTCGCAATTGGGTGGTCTTTGAAGGCAAACAGTATAGGGTAGCTGCTTTGGTGCGTCAGTTTTCACAGCAGTATGAGGAATGGGTGCGCCTCCCGGTAGATAAGTCTGTCCGGGCCCCTGCCGCTGCCGAAGTCCACCAAGCAGCTCAGGTAGGGTTGCCAACGATTATCCGTGGATGGGATGGGGCTACCAGAAGGGGGTCGCATTCAGTAGGAGGAGTGGTGCTTATGACCCCGAATCATGATATCCTGATGGCCACTAGAATGCAGTTCCCAGTCATTGATGACCCTCTCGTGGTAGAATTGCTTGTCCTGCGTGAGGCAGTTCTTTGGTGCCTGGGCCATGGATTCTCTAGCGTAAGGTTTGAAGGGGACGCCAAGGTGGTCATTGATAAGCTCCACGAGGCTGATACTAGGGATAGCAGGTTAGGAGCTGTGCTAGCATAGGTGCTATTTAATTTTGCCTGCAATCCGGGGTTTAGTGTTCGGTTTATAGGTCGGGGTAGCAATAGGGTAGCCCATATGGTGGCTAGGAAGGCCCTTTCTTTGTACCCGACTATGAGTCGTTCTTTTGATTTTCAGGCCTGGCTGATCTCCACGGTGTAACTATCTATTTTTTTTATCTAATACATGATTATCTTTTGTAAAAAAAAAAAAAGAATATTCCTAGGGATGTCAATGGGTCGGGTTTTGCCAAACCCAAACCCATGGGTTTATCCATGAAAAAAATTCGGGGTAAAACCCACTAGGTTTGAAAAATTCAAACCCAACCCAATCCACTAGGTATCCACTGGTTCATGGGTACCCACGGGGTTTTGTCGTAAAAAATTTACAATAACAAGTTCCTATCAAAATTAAAGTCAAATATCAATCTCTCAATACAAATTATCCATATATAAAACACCATTCTAGAAAATTCAAGCAAATCACAAATTAACTATACAAATTGTTCAACACCAATCTAGAAAACTCAAGAAAATTGAAGCAAATCACAAATTATCCATAAATAACATGATTAATTAAAAGCTTCTTCCTTTCAATTAAGTTTGTTCACTCTCCACTCGATAACATCAACTTCATTCTACACAATTAAAAAGAAAAAAATTAGACATGTCTCAACAAACATAAATAAGATTAGTTGTTTAGAATATTAAATATACCGAGAAAATTAATTATATGAGTGTGGGCGGGTACCCATGGGCCGGGTTTACCTAAACCCAAACCCAACCCAACCCGATGAATAGTGAACAGGTTTAAACCCAAAACCCGTCAACACGGATTTTACCCGCGTTGGCTGGGTTGGGTCGGGTGGGTACCCGTGGGTTCGGGTTTTGTTGTCATCCCTAAATATTCCAAAGAACATCACACAAGACTCAAGATATCGCTCTGAACCACTCCTTCGATATCGCAATGGGTGTCGTCGTCGGCGAGGCCACCCAAGGCTCCGTCGTCGACGGCCTCCCTTGGACCTCTCTCTTCGGAATTGTATACGACAATTGTCTTGAGTACGTGGAGCCTATTCTTGTGGATGGTATTCTTCAGATCCCTCAAGTTGTATGTGACGAAGGAGTGAAAAGGTGGGAAAAAAGCTTTGTGGGACAATTCCTGGGGAAACCTCCTCCGTTGTGGGCAATCCGTAGCTGGACGAATCGTTTCTGGGGTCGAGATGGGCAGGTACATGTATCTTGGTTATGTGACCGATTAGTTCTCTTTCAATTACCTTCCGAAGCTGCGTGCAACTGGTTATTTTAAGGAGGACCTTGGCACTTGCGAGATAACATGTTATTTCTTCGCCAATGAGAAGTTGGGATTCGAGCCCTAGAATTGGATAATAAGGCGCTTCCAATCTCAGTTAAGCTAATTGATTTTCCATTGGAATTGTTGCCAAAGGATAGATTAGGAAGAGTGGCAAGCTTAATTGGGAAACCACTTTGTATGTATCAACCTACTGTTGATTGCGTCGAGCGCGAGACTTTATCCCTGTCTTTTGATCACTTTTGGATTTAACTAATAGATATTGCTTAATCAAAGTCTAACACACTGTTAATGTATAAAGAATAGCACTTTGACTAAAGGAAGCAAATGTTTGGTTATTTACTACGTCTAGTGCTTTCCACCAAAAATTATAACTCAATCAAGTGTACTAATTAATCACCCAACAAAGCCCTATCCTAGCACATTACCTTCAGCTTCTTTAATTGGGTTTCAGTGCAGCTTAATAGTCCACTCAAATAACTAGCACTAGTCAGACCAAGCAGTGGAGTTAAAGCCCATTCGTCTAAACTTATCAGGCCGACCCAACTACTCTACTAAATAAAACGGTGGTGTTTTAATTTCAAACACACAAGACTTCCCTCTTACCTTGTTTTTGATCAAAACCAGCTCTGTGACTAAAGTTACACAAACAAAGGCATGAACACCAAGAACAAATAAAAGCACAGTAGTTCAACCCAGAAAATTAGAGTCAAATTAAATCAAACCCATGTTTCAACAAGTTCACCAACCCAGTTCGAGCAGGTGGTCTTCCTTCGCTGCTCTTAGAATGTGATTCCCTGCACAATCAAGTTTGGAACAGAACACAAACAGAAGCACACACGGAATTGAAACAGGAAAGCAGAGCAAGAACACAACACACACTTTTTTACGTGGTTTCCAGTATTGGGAGAATGAGGATCCCAATACTGACTACTCCACGGTCGGAGACTCACAGTTGTGTGATCTCCGACGATTCATTAAAGCCATTCCGATGAAGTTCGATGCAACACTAACTACCCAAGAACCCTTTGATCAATCTCAACCCGAATGATCAAACTCACACTCACCAACCCCCAAATTGCTTCCCCAGCAACTCGTAACAGTGTTTCCCCAACACTAATCCTCAAAGCTGTTCTCCCCGAACCCTTTGAGAAACCCCATTTTCTATAAAGCTTGCTATACTCACAAAATCCCCTTTTGTCTTAGCTAGCTATATTGATCTCTTGAAAAGGTTACCTTGTTCTTCATTCTGGTACCAATTTATAGTCTCCACCAACTAGCCGTTGCTTTTCAAATCTCCCTTGTTAATTCGAGATCTTCATATAAGGTAAGCTTTTGTTCTTTCTTTCTTTGGCCAGAATACTTTCCTTAACTACTTTGGGCAGCCAGCATATATTTCCAGCTATGATTTCATCGTTTTTGAATCTTGACTTGGCCTTCAAGAAGGTGTTTATGGTCTTCTGCTATTGTCAAGCTGAAGCTAACATTCTCCCCCTCAGCTTGTTAATGGCCACCCTTCTCCCCCTGAACATGGTATCCCTTTAGAAAGGATAAGCTGAGTTTGACTGAGATCCAGACTTCTCCTCCTAATCTTGTCAAGTTTCATTTGTAAGCTGCTAACAGAAACCTGCACACTTAAACAAACAATTGGTACAGCATGTCCATTCTTTTATTTCTAACAACAAGTTCTACGAGTCCAAGAGAAAGAACTAGGAGTCCATTTTATTCAAGACAAAAACATCAATGAACACTTAACACTAGACCTCAGCAGGACACACACAAAAAGATGATTAAACATAACCAATGACTCTCCTGAACTAGACTCAACAATCACACCAGAATTATTTAGCTACCAAAAAGACATTCATGGAGCTCCCCCTAAGCCTAATAGTTGTTAGTCCAAGTAAGTTATTCCGGAGAGGATGCATACTCAGACGGATCAACTTCCTCATCCTCCGACAGTACATAAATCTTGTTGACTTCCCTAGGATGCTTGCCAGACGAACTAGCTTCATTTCCTTTCAGCGCCAGACTGTATTCTCGAAGAATACTTTTTCCCTCATTCTCCAGCCTTATTCCTTCCTGGATATGCTCTATATTCAGAAACTTCTTTCGCTTTCCAGATGATTCTGCAACTTCTTTTCCCTTGGTAAGTCGGGCTATTGCATCAGTAGTCAATGCTGCAGCAGTGTCCTTTAACCAGGTTCCTTCTTCCACCTCGTTGTCATCCTCTTCAGGCTCACTTTCAGCCTCATACTCAGATTCGGTTTCAGGCTTATGTTCAATAGCTTTGTCTCCCCCTTGAACTTTGACAAGCTTGCGGGGTCCAAGTTCCGAGAGAGTACAACGAAGTATATATTGTGCTTGGAGTCAAAATGAACTTCCCATTTAGTCATCTTATCACGTCGATCGACTCCGACTAATTCTAGTAGCGTGGTGATTTGAGGACCAAACGGTAGCTTCCCGCTACAGTCATCTTCTCTATATTTAATCATGTGATTAAACATAAGAGAAGCATAGTTGATTTGGCATCCTGTCATCGCGTTGAACTGAATCCAAAGGTCAGTTTCTTCAAGGCTCGTTGTAGTTTCAGCATCTCGAGGGAGAAACATGCGCGTGATGTAGAACTGAAGAGCTTTCAGATCATCCGGCAGCCTCTCAACAGAAAACATGGAAGACTTATACTTCCCATAATCTCGAGCTAGATACGACATAGTATCTATAGGATGAAACCCATAGCTGTCAAATTCTTCTGTTGTTCCTGCTGTGTATCCATCATGAGGGAGATGCAGCAGATTGGCCAGCACATTAGCAGTGACTTTCACACTGAAGTTGTAGACAGTGGAGGTGAAATACATCGGATTGCGGCCAGGTCCACACTGCATACTCGCGTAGAACATTCTCACGGCTTTAGGGCATTGATCAAGAAGCTGATTCTTGAGCAGCGAGCTCCACCCAAGATCATTTACATACCCATTAACCCTCAGTCTATATCGATTGAAGGTGGTAGGTGGTATGAGGAACGAAGGGTGGAGAGCACGATCACGAAAGCTACGAAGATACCTGGAGTATGCTTTAGAGTTTCGAAAGCCCTGATTGGTGAAAATTTCAGCAGGAGCAAGACTCACATTGAGCTGGGAATTGCTCGGCGCCATGGTGAAGGAATGAGCGAGAAGAGGATTTTGAGCTGCTGCTTTTGTTGAAGATGATGGGATGAGAATTCCATAGAACCTTTGGAAGCTTTTATAGTTGCTGTTCTGAAACGAATTTGGAAAGATTTTGAGATGGGGAAGTTCGAATCATCTCGAGTAGAAGAATCAATTAAGAGAAGAGGATGTGATCGTACTGCATCCTCTGTCATGGGATTCGCTCTTCCTTTGGGGATGATTTGAAGGAAGGTACTTTGGGAAGGAATTGATCGAACAAGAAATTAGGGATTTTTAGACAGTGTTCGACAGCAGGGGAAGAGGATAGACTGGATCTTTTCTTTCCCAGGAATCGCACGAGTGTCTGAAAGTTGGACAGGGGAGGGAACTGGGCTTCGTCCCACAAAGCCTTGAGAGAGGCTTAAATTACCAGGCCTTAAGAAATCAGAGTAGGGCCGAGAATTTGAGCATATCAGAGTTTTTTTTAATTGATTTATTAATTTTATTTTAAAACAACACCACTAATTTTAGCTTTGACATCACATGTTAATTTCACTTTAAATCTTTAATCTCACTAGAAAGAATAAGCCCAAGTTCTTGACGAATGGTTAGAAATTGATCAACACTTAGAGGTTTAGTAAAAATATCAGCTCATTGATTCGTTGTAGGCACAAACTCAAGCTGAATTTGGCCTTCTTCAACCAATTCTCGAATGAAATGATACCTAATTTCTATATGTTTGGTTCGAGAATGTTGTACGGGGTTTTTAGCCATATTAATGGCACTCGTATTATCACAATACGAGCATGGACTTTATTTCTAACCCGTAGTCACAAAGTTGATGCTTCATCCAAATAAGTTGAGTACAACAGAGGCCAGCTACCACGTATTCAGCCTAGGCGGTAGATAGAGCAACAGAGCTTTGTTTATTACTATACCAAGACACAAGAGAATTTCCTAGAAATTGACACGCCTGGAAGTACTCTTACGATCAACTATGCACCCAACATAGTCTGTGTCACTATATACAATTAAATCAAGACTTGACTCACAATCATACCATAGACCTAGATCCATTGTACCAGCTAAGTAACGAAAGATTCTCTTGACCGCAGTCAGATGACTTTCCTTAGGAGCACTTTGGAATCTAGCACAAAGACACACACTAAATTGAATATCGGGTCTACTAGCAGTAAGATACATTAGTGACCCAATCATTCCTCTATAGAACTTCTCGTCAATTGACTTACCCGATTCATCCTTGTCTAGTTTAATGGTAGAAGCCATAGGAGTAGTGACAGTTTTTAGATTCCCAAATTCAAAACGTTTTAACATATTTTGAATGTACTTGGTTTGACTAATGAAAATGCCTCAAGTTGTTTGTTTAATTTGCAAACCCAAAAAATATGTTAGCTCTCCCATTGCACTCATTTCAAAAGTTTTCTTCATGATATTTTCGAAATATTCGCATAACTCTTTGCTCGAGGATCCAAATATAATGTCATCAACATATATTTGGACTAGCAAAAGATGTTGTCCTTTATTTTTTATAAAGAGAGTTTTATCCAATGAGCCCCTTTTAAAACCTTCTCCTAACAGAAAGGAACTAAGTTTTTCATACCAAGCTCGTGGAGCTTGTTTTAACCCATACAATGCCTTTTTTAATTTATAGACATGATTTGGATAACGAAAATCTTCAATTCCGGGTGATTGCTCAACATACACTTCCTCTTTTAAATCTCCATTTAAAAATGCACTTTTGACATCCATTTGAAAAAGTTTGAAACCCTTAGAGCTAGCGAACACACATAACATTCTAATAGCCTCTAATCTAGCGACTGGGGCAAAGGTTTCATCAAAATCTATTCCCTCTTCTTAATTATACCCTTGAGCTACTAACCTAGCCCTATTTCTAGTTGCTACCCCATTTTCATTTGACTTGATCTTGTAGATCCACTTAGTCCCGATAATAACTCTATTAGGTGGTCTGGGTACCAAATCCAACACATTAGCTCGTTCAAACTGACTCATTTCTTCATTCATAGCAGCATTCCAATTTTCATTATTCAAGGCATCTAACACGTTTTTAGGTTCAACCAATGATACAAAAGCAGTATGCACAATAGAATTTCTAGAACGAGTGACCATACCTTCATTTAGCCCTCCTATCATAAGCGAAGAAGGATGTCGTTTGACAATATGTGGAGGGGGTTGCCTTACATCATCCTCTGGCTCGATCGGTGAGTTTGTGATACTTACTCCTATATCTTGGTCTTCAGATATGATTACTCTAGGTTCAGGTTTCTCCTTGTTTGGTGTCCTTGGTTGATCATAGTTTCCACCAAGTCCAAAATCATCTTCATCTATCTCTTCAGCACACTCATTAGCAGATTCATCAAATATCACATTTATGGACTCTTCCACTTTGAGAGTCCTTTTGTTGAATATTCTATATGCTTTACTAGTCATAGAATAACCCAAGAACACACATTCATCAGATTTAGCATCAAACTTGCCAAGATGGTCGTTGGTGTTTCCGAATCTCATAAGGAGTCTTCTTAATTCCCGATCTGATCAAAGCTCGATTAGTAATATAGCAAGCAATATTTATGGCTACAGCCCAAAAGTACTTTGGCAAACCATAGTCATGTAACATTGTTCGAGCTATATCAATCAAAGTTCTATTTTTCCTTTCCACAACTCCATTTTGCTGCGGAGTTCGAGGATCAGAAAAATTATGACTTATTCCTAGCTTATTGCAGAAGAGTTCAAACTCCTCAGAGATAAATTCTCCACCATGATCACTTCTAATGCTAGCAACCTTAGATTGTTTTTCATTCTCCAATTTCTTAGTAAGAGACTCAAAATTTTGAAACAATTCACTTTTGTTAGCTAGGAACATTACCCAAGTGAAACGAGAATAGTCATATACAATTACGAAAGCATACGACTTACCTCCATAGCTTACCACATTGGTTGGTCCGAAGAGATCAAGGTGAAGTAGTTCAAGAGGTCTCGTTGTAGATATTACCGTCTTACTCTTGAAACTAGACCTTGTATGCTTTCCTTTAGCACAAGCATCACAATAGAACTCCTTTTTGCCTTTTAACTTAGGTAGGCCTTTAACTAGCTCAAGATCACTTAATTTAGACAGAATCCCTATACTCACATGTCTAAGCTTCCTATGCCAATCTATTTTATCATTTTTCTCTAATGACATTAGACAAGTTATCTTAAAACTTTCTTTATCCTCTAGATTTATGACATATAGCTTATTTTTACGTCTCCTGGTGAAAAGCACTTTCTTATCAACTAATGACTCAATGTAGCAACAATCATGTTCAAAGATTATCCTCTTATCTTTACCACACATTTGACTAATAGAAAACAAATTATGCTTAAGACCTTTTACTAGCATCACATTCTCAATGCATGGATCTGAACCTACTATTCCTCTTCCTATTATTTCGGCAGAATTATTGTCACCAAAAAATACCTTACCACCTTTACCTTCTTTGAGTGTAGTGAACAAGTTTTGATTTCCTGTCATGTGGTGTGAGCATCCACTGTCTAGTATTCATTCAGTTGCCTCCATGTCACTTGGAAGCAAACCTGCGCCATTAGCAGTCATGTAGTTTTGGGTTTTTGTATCCAGACTTTCTTGGATACAGTTTGTTTGTGATCTTTAATAGAACAAAATCTACTAATGTGACCGACTTGATGACAAGTAAAGCAAGTTCTATATTTTTCATTTGGTATTCTCTTCCTACATACTCGCCTAATGTGCCCAACCTTATGACAATAGAAACATTCTATGTCTCTATATCTTAGTTTTGAAGTTCCATTCCTCTCAAGTTTTAATGACACTTCAAAAATCTTTGACTTGCTTTTACTACATGAATTTGATCCTAAATTTTCACAACATCCATTAGTGGAATGATTTAAGGAAGAATTACCTCCCTTTCTTAGAGGTTCAATTTTATTTCCTTCTAATGATTCTTGAAGTTTTACCGTGAGATTCAATTTCTCATCTTCTAAGACTTCAACTTTCTTAGTAGTTTCTTTTAACTCTTCTTTTAATCTGAACGCCTCCTTCTTAGTTCATCATATTCAATTTTTATTTTGGAATAATCAGATTTTAATTTTGAATATTTTACTTTAACATTTCCAAACTCTAACTGAATTTCCTTGATAGTGGACACTAATTGATCATCATCACTATAGTAATCACTATCGCTAAAATAAGTATGGTTGGAAGATTTTACCTCGTTTGAGTTGTGTCCCTCTGATGGTTTCTCAACATCAATAGCCATGTAACTTTCTTCTCTTGTTTCCTCTTCATCTTCATCTTCATCTTCGCTGCAGCTCCATGTTGCAGCCATGGCTCGTTCTTTTCTTACTAGAGGACATTCAGCCTTGATATGCCCAGTTTTCCCACATCTAAAGCATCTGATTGTGTTTTGAACCTTAACCGGCTGAAGCTGTTCATTCATGCTATTGTGGAATGCTCTTGATTGGGGATATTTTGTTACACCAGCTACTTTCTCAAATTCTCTATTCTTGTTAACGAAGTTTCCTCTTCGTTTTTCTTTTCTCATACGAAGCAATCTACTAATTTGTCTTCGTTGTATGTGGTAGCCTTGAAGGCTATTCCCTTCTTTCCTTTCTCAGAATTTCCTTTGTTGAGCTTGTCTTCATGAGTTGCTAATGACCCGATGAGTTCATCTATAGCTAACGTCTCCAGGTCTTTAGCTTCTTCTATTGCAGTTACCTTTGGAGTCCATTGCTCTGGGAGGCTCCATAATATTTTTCTAACAAGATCTCCATTTTCATAAGATTTTCCAAGGTTCTCCAGACTGTTCACAATGTTTGTGAAACGCTCGTACATTTGTCAGATAGTTTCTCCTTCTTCCATTTTGAACAACTCGAATTATTGTTTTAATGAATTGATTCGAGATGTTTTTACTTGAGAAGTACCTTCATAAGTAACCTGGAGCTTGTCCCAGATTTTCTTAGCAGTCTTGCATCCAACAACTTTGTGATATTCTTCTGGCCTGAGTGCACAGTA